ACAATGGTCAACGCACAGCTAAAGCTATTGCGGAGGCGGCACTGGCCGAAGCCAAAAAGAAGGTACAAGAAGTGCTGGGCGGGGGCGGCGGCAGCAGTAACAGCGGCAGTGGCAGCGGTGCTGATGCTGTCATTGAACTGACTGATGACAATTTCGACAAACTGGTTTTGAATTCAGATGATATTTGGTTGGTTGAATTCTTTGCACCATGGTGTGGTCATTGCAAGAACTTGGCACCTGAATGGGCTAAAGCCGCCAGGGAACTTAAGGGGAAAGTGAAGTTGGGTGCATTGGATGCTACAGTGCATCAGAGCAAAGCATCGGTAGGTTTAATGAATCTAAATTTAAATTAGTTGACTAATATTTATAAGCATCAATTTTCCCTAAACTAAACGCTTTTCTCCATAACCACACAGGAATATGGCATTCGCGGTTATCCCACCATTAAATTCATTCCTGCCGGCTCTAAGAGTAGTAGTGATGCTACGGAATATGATGGTGGCCGCACTGCATCTGACATTGTTAGCTGGGCGCTTGATAAACACACTGACAGCGTACCCGCACCCGAGTTGTTGGAGATTGTAGATGAAGACACGTTCGACAAAGCATGCGAAGGAAAACCGCTCTGCGTTGTCTCAGTACTGCCACATATACTTGATTGTGATGCTAAGTGCCGCAATAAATTCCTAGTCACACTCCGCGAATTGGGCGAAAAGTACAAACAGAAGTTGTGGGGTTGGGGCTGGGCTGAGGGTGGCGCTCAGAGTAACCTAGAAGAATCTTTGGAAATTGGTGGTTTCGGTTATCCAGCAATGGCTGTGGTTAATTTCAAGAAAATGAAATTCTCCGTACTCAAGGGCTCTTTCTCGAAGGATGGCATTAACGAATTCTTACGCGACATTTCCTATGGACGCGGACATACTGCACCCGTACGTGGTGCCAAGAAACCAGCTATTAACACTGTGAAGCCCTGGGATGGTAAGGATGGTCAACCGCCAGCTGAGGAGGAAATTGACTTGTCGGATGTCGATTTAGATGATGTTAAGGACGAACTTTAAAATAATTAAGCCATAAAACCAAATATAGCATTATGGTAATGTACACAAAGACTATGAGCATTATATGAGTGGTATCGAGAAAAAAATGGCAGGCGGAACCAAAAATGAAACCACCAAAATCAACAAACTTCAGTTCATGTTAAAAACCTTCTCTTCTATATTAAATATTTACTTAATTTTATATTTGTATGTGACAGTGTTTTGAGTTGTCACATATGAATGGGTCCCTATAAATATGCCATTGCATTTACCTACATATATTACGCGTATAGAAATAGCCTGTACAAATGTAACATGTGATTATAGTACGCGCCTGTTACATGTCACCTAGCATTCTTTACAACGTAACCTTAAATCAGGTTCCACACGATTTTAAATTAGTTTTTTATTGTATTTAAAAATCCTCAGAATTATTTTAACACTAAGGGCGTGTGTGAATCGGTAACAAAGTTTGCGGCAAGTAAATTTCTGACAACTATGAGGTGAATAAAATTTCAGTAGCTCATGAGGCTAGTGAAATTTTTGACAAATGCATAGAAAATGTTGACAATCGCAAAGATTGTTGCTGTGTGTCATTTTTCGTTAAACAAAAGCTTGAATTGATGAAATGCTATCAGTGATGGTAGATGTTTTCTTAAACTATTAATTTCACTTCAATTTGACATACTTTATTCCGACTAAATCTGCGGTTATCAAAAATTTACTGCTGTCAAAAAAGATTTCATTTCACACAGCAGATTGGCAAAACTGTCTCACCATAGTAAAAATATTATTCAACAGCTTTCCCCATAGAACTTTGTTACCGATTCACACACCCCCTAAATTAAATACATATATTGTTTAGAGTATCCATGGAACTTATTAAGCTGATAAATCTGATTGTTAACTAATATTTTTTTCTACTTCGAATTTGTGTGCTCAATGTACATATATGTAAATGAATAAAGAACTAGAATACAAACTAATTAGACATTTCAAGATGTTATTTTTCTTTAGAAGTTGCTTTTACAAGTCAGGTTAAGGTCGTTGAAATCGGAGCCAGATTTTTTCGCAATAATGAAGGCATTTGAAAAGCCACTACCTCAATGTAATTATTGTTGGTATTTTTCGATAAAAAAAAAGTGTTTGCAACGAAAGCGTGAAATAGTACACCCCACTCAGTTAATACCTCTGTCCCTATGGGCAAACCCAGTAGGAGTTGAGCTTGACGACAACGATTGAGGGATAGGCCGATCTAGGCAAGGTTGAGTAGCATCTACAACAACATAGTAAATTGAACGGTTCCACGACAGTCGGGTCTACGTAACCGGAACGACCCAGATTTATATCTGGCCAAGGACTGTCACTCCAGCAACACTCCCAAAAACTCTATGGGGAACTTGAATGCTGCTACAACAACAACATAGTAATTTGAAACATTAAAAGCGCTTTCTATAGTAAAGAAGATATTACGGTAAATCGTATATTTTATTTATATAAAAGTGTTTACATAAAATGCTATAAAAATATACATTTTGCAAACATACATGCGTCATTATAATTAAAATACACGCTATAAGTACGCTATGAATGGTATATTTTTTAAATTGTATAATACATAGTAGTTATATGGTAAAAATGCAAGTTGTATAAAAAGTGCTTAACCAACTGGCAATGTCATTTGAGCCTTTTATTTTTGGGTGTGATATTTTGTGTATTCTCCTTATTATCTACATATAAAACCTTACCGAAAAGAGGGAATTAATTGCTATGTTCATAATTGTATAAAATTCTACTTATATAAACGAATATTATTTGCTAAACATTGCTGGCGAATAATCATTTTGCCAATGAGAAAAGATTGCATTTGTGATGATTCGAGAACGTGTTTATATTAATTTTCCTATCCCCAGTTCCACCAAACAATTTTAAAATGTACGAGACCAAGGCGTATTTTTCCGAACAAAATTGTGTCATTTTAAAATTTAACAGGTTGATAAATTCAAAATTGATTGGTGCAACCGAGCATTAGCATTTTTCATTGTTCTTTTCGAGTACTTTCGAGTTTTGTAAGCAAAATTGGATTTTAATTAAATTTATAAAAACGTAAAGCTTTTAACACTCACGAATATGTATATATCGTCACCTGAAATGCAAACGCCATAACTAACAAAAAGTCCAATTCACTTTTTGATTGATTATGATGCATTTCACCGAATTAGGAGTATCCACGCCCCTTTATGACGTGACGATGTTTGTTGGCTTTTTGCATTTAAGATGACGAAATGTACATTTACATATATATGTGGTTGGAGCTTAATAAACTTACATATTAACTTATTTATTTTGTTCAAAAATCGGTTTAAGTACGGTTATTTCTTTCACACAACCTGGAGTATTTAAAAATATTTGTATATTAAGAGAGTATACTTTTTTTTTTGTATATTAAAGGCAAGAATTGTCCTCCGTTTTATGCAAAGTAAAACAAGACGATTGTAGTATCACCGACTGGCAGTGAATTTGTATGCCACAAGATTTTTCATCAGAATTCAAATTATTCGAATGTATTACGTATGTAAGAAGTTAAAATTAGGTAAAGCATGAATTTTGGCACGTAAGTAGTGACTTCTTGTAAAATTGATGACGCATCATCTATCCGCAACTGAGCCATTTCGTGGAAGTAAATTACCTTTTAAAATATGCAAAGTAGAGAAATATCATATTACAAAACCATTACCGAATTACGATGTAAAATTTTTTATAAATTCAAAAGTTTAAAAGCAGAAAATAATTTTCATAGTCTTTCGAGTTCCTTAGTATTCCGATTTAAAAAAAACACCACCATTACAAAGACTCCCCCACAGCGCTATTGCTGCCTTCAATGTTTTTGATCTACCGGAAAGTTTTCTATAGATTGTATTGAACGTGAAGTGGCCGATGTGATGGTCGATGAGACATCCATAAAGCGATATTTTTTTTCATCGCGACACAAAAACGGATAACACATAATGCCATAGTAGAATACCAAACAGGCTAAAATTATTACAAATATGATTGAAATTATGCCAAAAGTCGAGAAACCAGACTTTTTGTCCAAATACTCTTTAGGCGTTTGTGGTGGTTCAGTTGCCGCTGGTGGCGTTGGTTGATAGCCACCAAAATAACCACGATGTCCTCCATAATTACTTGGCCGACCCGCATCCAGCGTTGAAAAATGCCAGGTAGCTGGAGGCATATACAAAGGAAATTGGTTTAAGATGGGTTTTTCATAGCCGTATTTGTAGAAACACTTACCAACTATGAGTAAAGTGATAACGAAGGCGTTTTTAAGCATTTTTAATCGACTTATAATGGATATAGTGCAGCACTTGTATATATTTTCACGGTGAACAATTAAATTACAATTTTACACGAATCCTTTTTGTTTGCTTATTGGTTGATTTTACTTCTTATCGATAATGACCGATAGTTTTCCAGCTCTAAGCACCTGTCACACCATCAACAGAGAACATTAAGTACTCCGCACACTGCAGACTTTATCAACCGCCGATTTAATCATTCCATTGCATTTTCGGGCGCGATTAACAGCCCTAACCCAACTCCAATTACAAAATTCAACGGCTGACTATTGTCTTTACTACTGCGCCTAGTACTATGCCACAAATTAATTTTCAGCTCTCTAATGGTGACAATTGTCATGTCATGAACGATAGACGCCTGCATTCTGTTGTCGTATGAAATCCGATGTATGGTGCAGCTGATTTGTGGTAGTTCACACTAAAAAGTGAACAAAACTCACAGCCATTCGCAATAATACATCTGTCGGGCGTATGAAAACGATAATGCTAGATGCTGTTTATCGCCTATCGTATGAAAATTCATAATAGGGGGTTACTGAGTAACCGAAAACGGCGAATCAATGTTTGTTTTGGGTGTTAGGAGCAGTAATTGTAACAATAGTCATAGGATAAATTTTGCCAACGATGTGGGTAAGATTGATAAAACAACGTATCTGTCTTATGCAGCGTTTTTGCTGCATTTAAAATTCAACATTATCACTTTCGAACATATGTTTTCGAAGAACGTTCATGCTATTGCATTTAGCAAATAAACATTTACGCGAGTTCGAAATCGTATGCTTTTGACAAACAGTCGTGTTCCAGCCGCTTATTCAGATCCGTATCTTTTACGATCAATTCTCACGCAGAAGATAATGTGCAAAAACCCTACTGAAAAGGAAAAAATAAATTTTAAACCCAAACTTCAATACAAACATTTGAATTGTTTCAACCATGACCGACCATTTGTTTATGTATATATTCATTTGTCGGTGCTGTCAATTAAAATTTCCTCACTTAATTAGGAAACAAAACAAACAGAATTGATTACAAATTGATCCAGATTTCTATCATCATCACATCGATATTGGATCTTCTTAACTTTTCTTTATCCAAATAATGTAAAAAAATAAATGAAATCTCGATCGGCGATCACTGAAACGCAGCTAGCCACCGTATACTCGAAAATGCAATGTTGCCGCTTTTTCTCATTAAACCATGCTCGAATCGTGGAAATTTTGGAAGATCACAGGGTTGCTTTTAGCATTTAGATTCTTAATGCAAAAATGGAGTTGCATTTAGGTGACGAATTTTGTATGGATAAATGTACATTTAGAGTAGCATTTAGAGCTAAATGCGCTAAATGTGCTTTTACGCGTAAGCAAAAACAGCCCATTACGTGCGTCAAAAGTTGAGTGTTGGCCATCGTTCGTTGGGTCCGCCGACGCAAGGGTTGCCAATCTGACGCTCTCTATGCAAACACATAGTCTACTCAACTGTCAGTTTCATATTTGAGCGGAACGTACGCAAAGTACCTGACGGGGCCATTAAAAGGTACTGCACCTAAAATTAGGTATATTTCCAAAGTGGGGGACTCCAGCTTTCCAATGGTACCACTCTTGATCGCCGAATTGAGGGTCTCCATTTCAAAGTGTACCCATTTAATAAATTTCAAATGATTATGTATGTTTTCAAATGCGCAGATTTTTATGCAGGTGAAGTCGGCAAGTTATGCTGCAATTGCTACATCGATACAAAATATCGATATTTTCCATGGATCGATGTTTTTTCGACATTCCTAGGCATCACACTTTTGCTGTCAGTTTGGGCAGCGGGTTTTCGCTGTTTTGTTTATTTGTGGGTGTATTTACGTTTAATGTATTATATTTAGCGTTTTTACGTGAATACTTGTTAAAACAAATATGTAAAAAATTTAAGGAGTAGCAAGCGCTTGTAAAGTAACTCAGGTTAATCGAAACTTGGTGTGGTTTGAAATCATAAAGCATTGTGCCGAACTTTTCAGTGCCGTATCGAAATAGAACGTTTCTGTCCTTAAACATCATACAAACCCATTAAGACCGTTTATTGATTGCTACCTTACAGAAAAAAAGGAAATTTGTCATTATTAGTGAGAAAGGAAAGAAATCTAAGGATAAAGATATTCGACACCACCGTCACAACGCGAAATATGAATGCCTAGAGTTCGAACGATCCTATCGATATTGAGTAAGAATCGATACCGAGGGTATAAAATGTGTACTTTAATACTCGATACCTTATTTGGTGATTTTACTCGATACTTTGCAAAGGGCTCTTAGTATCGGCTACTTTTTAAAAAACACACTTTAAAATTTTTTCTTCCATTGGCGACCCAATTTTCCTTGCTTATATGGATTACTATCATTCAACTTTGTCCAAATAAACTGAAATTTCGTATAGTCTGTTGCATAACATAAACCAAATAAGTTAAGGTTTAATAGCCTTATGCGTAAAAAATAAAGTAGGTTTAAAGATCTTAATAAAATGACATTTTCATACATTTTTCAGTTTATAAACCTTTTTTATTATTTATGAATAAGGCCATAAAACTTTACGCAAAGTTGACGAAATTGCAGAATTTTTAGAAACTTTTTGGGTATGCAGTTTTGTAACCTATTCAACTTTAGGTGTAGCCTACTACCGTTGACTTTTAATTCAAACTTGCACATTATTATGCTAAAATTGAATAGGCGACAAAAAAGTTTTCAAAAATTGTTAATAAAATTTGAAATTTGTGAAAGTATATATATATGTCTGTATGTATGTACATTTAACGTAAAATTACTTCTAGCGTGAAACGTAAGTTCTGCAATGAAGGAAAAATCAATTTTTTTAAATTTCTATTGTTTTAATTTCAGAAAATAACTAGATATACGATGGAAGAATAAAATAATTTTAGTATCCCAAAAAACGTATTATAATTAGGAATGTTCGATATCGTATCGATTTTTCTGAATATCGGTATTTCATCGCACGATAATCGATTTTTTTAATCGATGTTCCAAGGTCGATATATCGAAGACATCGATACTTTACCTGAAACATCGATATTTAAGTTGAAATTTATTTTTCATCTACAAAGAAGTGTATGGAAAAATACTAAAGTAGGTTTAATCAACAGCTTGTGTGATTTATTTAGCTCTTAGGTTTGGCAAACCGCTTGAGTCGACCAGCATGCTGTTTTAATCCTTAGTAAATATACAAAATGGAAATAACACAATTAGTTGAGTTGATAAGCAGGTCTAATATTCTATTCAATTGAGAGTAGGACTTTCAACATCGATTTTTCCGATATCGATATTGTTCAGCCCGATATATCGTCATATCGATTTTACATGTAATGAATTAAATCGATTCATGATATCGATACTTTCTTAAATATCGAACATTACTAATTATAATGGGTGCGATAATGAGTAGTGTCGATACTTTTTCCCTGATACTTTTAGAGTTTCGATGCCATGGGCTCGATGCCAGAATGAGTACTCATCGATACCAAAGTCTGAAATTTCGAACCCTAGGAATGTCGGAAAAATATCGATGTTTTGCATCGAAAATTTTCCACTCTACGCGTGATTCAATAATACAAGGTTCGATAAACTGACAGTTGTCTCTCGCGCACCGCTCCCTTAGCAGTGGCACCGTGTTGCTTCTTTGCAAATTTACTTGGAAAAAGTGTAGCTTTGCTGTGNCAAAATGGGCGTAAACACGCCCACTTATGGTTACATGTGTATATCTTGATAACCGCTCCACTAATTTCTTCCAAACTTGGCACAGTTGTTGGCCTTGGTACAACATACTAAATGGCCGAAAAATTTTAAAATCGGACAATAACCACGCCCACATACCATATAACGGTAATTTAGAGAAATACAAAATCCGCGATAAATCAGTAAATATTAAAAGATAATTTATTCAAAAATGATGCTTGCAACAATTCATTACCAAGAAATACGTTTGTGGTAAAATTTTGGAAAATGGGCGTGGCACCGCCCACTTATGATCACATATATGTATATCGGTAACCGTTCTACCAATTTGTGCCAAACTCGGTATTTTTATTGTGCTTGCCACATAAAAGCAAAATGATGAAAATTATTGAAATCAGACTAAAATTAAGGCCGCTTTTCATATAACGGTAAATTTCAGAAATGCTTGAAACTGCAATATTTCGAAATTTAAGGAGGCTTACCATCTAGCGGTAGGTTTCGGAAAGGTGAAAAAACATATATTTAATACTTGCGCTGGGTATTTAATGTTCGGCTCCGCCCGAACTTATACTTTCTTACTTGTTTGCAATAAGTTTATTTGTATATGCATATGAAGCACATTTAGCTGATGATAAAATAATGAAGCAAAATAATAAAATTTCCAGCGTTGTAACAGAAGTTCCGGAAATGGACGTTACTTGAGAAATTGAAAGACGCTTGCGGAAAGATAAGTTGCTTGTTGGTAATAATGCACAATATCAGGCGATTTCAATGATTCGGATGGCAGGATCGCCAATATATCGTATGATATATTGTTCAATCTAAAAATTTATTTTCTTTCTTGTTTGAAAGTTGGTTTATTAATTATCAACAATTTTCTTTTCTGATAACAAACAAATTCATTGAAACATAAATTGAACATCAAGAACTTAAACAAGTATAAAAATATATAGGTAAAATACCCTACAGTATGTATGTATATTGCTTACTTATTTTATGTGGCTTTTGTTTAATTTTATGTACATATACTTTTTTTTATTGTTTTTTTTTTTTTGCTTTTCCATTTGTCTATATTTAGATTAGTAGTTTGTTGTACTATAAAAGAGTATATCTTATTGTACTAATGTTTATACATTTAATAAAATAAATAAAAAATAAACATAAAAAATGCAAGTAATGTTTAAGCAAAAAACACAACCGACTTCAATTCTCATATAAAAATGTAGGAGTACCGTTAATTTTTTCATGATCAAATGATCGGATCTAAACAAAATTAGTAAGGGACCACCGTGAGACTCTACCTTTCCGATAGAAAAAGAATTATCGAACTCGGGTAACGTGGTAGGTACAAAGTTATGCGGTAACATGCATAACAAAATAAATAAGTAAATAAATAACTATTCCGACGAATTGATAACTTTCTTACTATATTAAAAGATAGATTTTTCCCCAATTTTCACTATTTTTTACAAGCTTTTATTTATTTTAATATTTTTGCTCTGATATACATACATATCTTATAATTCATTGCGTATTTTTTTAAGAAAAACATACATTTTGATTTAAAAAAGGTCATAATCTCGTTTTTTCGAAATATGTATATATCAGGTATTTCAATTACCTTTCCAACCATATCCACCTTTTGAAAATCGCTTCAATAATTTTCAAAAAATAAGTTTTTGAAAATATTGAAAATTCCACTTTTACCACCCCTCTTAATATGCAGCAAAACAAAATTCATACCATCAAAGTCAAGAATAAGGGGCGAGCCGCTCCCACTTCTTTTTTTTACCTCATCGGGCTCTATTCTTAACTTTTACCAAATCATAGATAATTATACTGACATTTTTCTGAATATTTTCTTTCTTGTGCCACAGAAAATATAAAAATTACTTAAAACTTCTAAAAAATAATTGTTCGCTTAATCGCGCGCCCATTTATATTTCACACTCCAGTTTAGGTTGAAAAGTATGCTTGGAAAAAATCTAAATTGTTCCTATTCACTGCATTACCGACACTTGCCAGTGATTTAGGATTTTTCTCTATTTAGGTAGCAATTTAGACGTACCCGCACACGGGCTAAATATAAAAAAAAGTCTTTAAAACAACATAATAGTGCGAAGTGTTTAAAAATGCCTAAACCTAAAAAAAATTTATCAAGAAAATCGAGAGGCGCAAGGGCAATGGCCCGCAAACGGAGAATGATATTCGCGGCGCGAGAAGAAGCAATAAATCAACTAAATTATACAGGTGACTTTTACAATAAAAGTCTATCTACTCACATCAGTGTCGTAAATATAATATCATTGCCTCAGTTACAAATAAAATGTTCGGACACGTCCGGCACAGTGCCGTTTTTTATCGTCAGTGCTGCTTCAGCGTTCGTTCCGTAATACATGTAAAACTACTACTGAAAAGTGTTTATTTTCAACCAAATCAGGACTGGATTTTTGAACATGATATGTTTAAAATTGCAAACGTTTTTAAATAAATAAAAATAAAAATTAGGTACATTTCGTATGTAATTTCCCTCTAAGCGACAAATTTGGTATGTAAAAGTAAACAGGAATTGTTTAATTTTATTAACACGGTGTGTAAATTTGCACACAGTAGAAGAGGAAACTGGTTACCTCTCTTAATATGCGTTAATTTAAACAAAATTTTTTAAGAGCAAATTTTAAAAATTTTATATGTAAACTGTGTAATTGTGAACACTGAGAAAATTCTATAGAAATTTTTGTAGTTAAGTTTAATGGTTCAACTATACATTAAAATAGTTAAATTAACGGCCCTAAGGGCCGGATTCACAGTGCGTAGTACCTCTCTTAATAAGCTTATGGGTCGACTACGGATAGCAACACAACCACGGTTCGGTTGCCAGCTGACAACGCAACTGGAAAGAAAATTTTTATTACGAATGGCAACTATGGTCAGTTGCTATAGAGTTATCGATAATCGAAATTTGACAGTTCAACAACCAGCAAGCAGCTGTAAACAAGCTGTGCGAGTAAAATTAAATTATTATAATAAAAAAATTTAAAGAAAAGACAGCAATAAAGCTAAATTTAGCACAAATATTTGTTTAAGAGGAAGAGAAAGGCATGAACGCGGCCTCAATCAGGCGACACTTAAATGATAATTCCAATCCTCTAAAGCTACCGCGTGTACTGTAAGCAAAAGTTAATGCTTTCTTTTGTTATCGTTTTGTTTTAATTTTCAAAGCATATTGAGGACCGCCAAAAGAAGCTGTAGTATAATTGGTTAATAAACAGATGAACCACTTCGTTCAACTTCAATACCTCCGCTCATAGAAGCTTGCGCACATTCGATTTTTCGCAGAAGGAAGTGCCACAGCAATGACTCTAATTTGGAAAACTGGGTGTGTCGGTAGTTTTAAAAGAGGTGCTTCAGTTGATAAAGTGTTCGCTTTTGTTTCGCCAAAAGGGCGTTCTCCACGGGAACTAAAATTTCAAGATATTGGTTTGTTATTTTCACCATATTCTGTAAAAGCAAACTGCATTGCAAATGTTAATATCGTTCAAATTATTAAAAAGTAAAATATATGACACACTTTTCAATTTTCGCTCCTAAATAACATTCCCAGCAACCACTAAAATGTAGTCGCCTGTGTACACACTTTATAGCAACTGCAGTTGTCAGTTGAAAGTTGCCAGTTGTCATCTGTAATATCTTTTTGGCAACTAGCAACGCAACTGGAATTCGATTGCTATCGATAATCTACCCATTAAATTTAAACAAAATTTTTTTACAGAGTAGTTAACTCGGCAAAGATATGTTTGTGTATTTCACTGACTAGCTGAGGTTATTTTATTGCAAGTTTTCATTGATATGGAGGGAAAATGAATCAAATTGGTACGGAATTATCCAGAATTTATATAATTTGGCAATAATTCCCAATTCATCATTAGTAAAATAAGTCATCTTGGTTTCACTGAACTTCATTTTACTGAAAGTATTGGACGACATACTACGGATGTGTGTGAATTGGTATCACTGATCGATGCTGATTGGCAATGATACTGAACTGATACGGCACTGATCTGTGAAGATAGATCTTTTATTTTTTATTATTAATACTAGGGAAGACAAAAATATGAAAAAAAAAACTAATTATATGATCATCAAAATTACTCCAAAATATTAAAAATATGTTTGATATATGCTCCAAATATGTATAACGAATACTTTTACGATTATCGCAACATTTTATTGAAGTGTTGCTTCACACAAAATATTTTTATTGTTGATATTGAGAAGTTACAATAGATGTAGAATAAAACTCTCTGCTCAGTTCGCAGCATATTTGGAAACTTTTAAATAGCTTGCGCTAAAAACGAAACATTTTCATTGAATTTTTCAACCACCAAAAGCGGTTCAGCACAAAAATTCGCTGTTGTCTAACAATTTTCACGAGAAGGTATATTAAAATTGTTTACTAGAAAATAATTGTTTGTCAGCCTTTTCTTTTTGACAATTATACAAACCTTGTCAGCAACCCTGGCTATCTCCGAAAAGGTATTGTCAGATGAAATTATACGAAAATTAAGTAACTTATTACCGAAATAATCATGTTTATGCATTTTTATGCTTTTTCGCCAAAATATGTATCTTGTGTCATAATATGCATTTGCATATTTTTGTCTTCCCTAATTATTACCCATCGATTACAATACCTTATCTATACTAATATATATTTTGAAAGCCTTTTTTTTGTAGTTGAGTTTTTACTAAAAATCTTATTTATGATCCGATTTGGCTAATACGCATTGGTAACGGTAAGAGCAATACTATTGCAAAAAAGTGCTGCCGGGTGGCGCTGGAGTCGAGTTATTACTAAAAATCGCCAAGTGAGAAAAGGTGCCTTGAATGTCAGATTAAATCGACCTGTTGCACCATTGAGTGTATCGAGCTCTCCTGTGTTATTATTGGCCCAATGGATGTAATTTTCCAATTTTATTATGCGTTTAAGCTTTTTAACAATGATACGCATCCATCTTGAAATTGCCACCAACTATACTATACAGCTTCTGGGACAGATTCACTTTAGAACCGGATCATTGTTGCCGTCAGGGAGTGGAGAGGAAACGCTTCATCAAATTTGTTTAATTTTGCGATTAACCGTCCAAGAACTTCTTCACGGACATAACACTTTCGTTAGGTTATTTAAAGCGGCAGATGACTACCATACTATAATCTTAGCAGACGATTGTTCCGAGTCTGCTAGTAGTTTTATAAAATTTTAAATAATTATTTTCTTTTTTAGCAACTAAGGAGCAACTTCGAGAACTCAAAAGCAAACTGGCTGAACGCAAATACTATTTTACTGATCAGCAAACGCAAGTGCTTCTGCAAACAATATGTGATACAGTGAAAGATCAACCTGCGTGCTTTGAGGTAAATACACCCTTCCATGAATATTGGCGTGGGCCGAAAATCCGCTTTTTTAGAATTTTGATTTGTAATAGAAAAAATATGGTTTATTATGCCATAAAACAATCTGTGTGAAAGATTGTCAATATCTTAGGTTCGTTAGTCCATTAAAGTTCACGTGCTAAAAAAAAATTCTTAGCTTACTTCGATTCTCTAAAAAAAAGTTCCATATACAAAACTATGTAGAACTAATACTTTGGGAGATAATTGCAATTTTAGTAACAAAATGTATTAAATAATGTATTTATTAATTTTTGTTTTTTGAGCACATTGAACTTTGATGGACTTGGGCGAGCCTAAAGGCAGGTTTTCACTATGTCAAATTCAGTGGCATTTGTCATCAAATAAGTTAAAACACGTTGTCAAATGGGATCAAAAAGCTGTTTATCGATTGATATGGATCAGGTAAGGTCTTTTGTCGTGTACACGCGCTGCGAAAACGGCCATCTGCTAGTTTTTGGCCCATAATATCATCGGTAAAGGTATGGATAAAGGAAATAAAGTTGTGTCAAAATATGTCGCCAAATTTTGGCGTCAAAATATTACATAGTTTAAACCAGTCTTAAGGTATTGAGCAAAAATTGTCATCTTTTACACAGATTGTTTTTAGAGCACGATGAACCATATTTTTGCTAAACTTCTAAAAAAGCGGATTTTCGGCCCACGCTAATGCATATGTATGCACATTAGGGGGTCCTTAAAAATCAAATGAAGAATTTTTTTGGGTCTCAACCTCTCGAATCGGCAATACCACTGTCACAGATATCACATATAAACTTTGGTACCGATTGGCGACGGAGAAGGCGTGTCGCACAGGGCAAAGTACAAATTCCTCTACTAGCATTGACGTAGTGGTGGAGGCTTAGGAGATCTTATGTAAAAATTTACTTCGTACATTTAAGGACCACCCTAATGTGGATACATATGTACATGTCGGTACGTGCACAAAAAAATTACGTCAATATCCATATCAGGGACGGTGATCATTATGAGTAAAATAATTTAAATCAGCAAATAATAATTTTTTTATGATTTTAAAGAAAGACTTAAAGAATTAAAGAATATATTCTCGATCACAAATAATACTTATTTTATAATTTTTATTTTTTCGCTCAGTGATAATGATTATTGTTGAGTTCTATACATACAGGCGCAAATACCTGAATTTTTGTCCTGAAACTTTTGGGTCTTATTCTTTTTATTAGGATGTGGCTACCTCTGAAAAGAATACGTCAGAAATCGCGGTGGTTTAGCTTTAATTTTTTATAATCATTATTCTTAAGTGAAAAAATAAAACTCAATAATAATTATTATCTTTGAGCGAAAAAAATAAAAGTCAACATTTAAGCCCATTTTGTTATAATTACATATGTATCGTTACCTTTACGTTGAAAGGCCTTAACTCAGTTCTAAATTCAGCTTTGTATGGAGGTCAGTAGATTACTCCGTAAAGGTATGATACAATTTGAAAACTACTACAATGAGGGCCAGTCTGGTGGTTTAAAGTAAATGTCAGCCAGCTGTTCAATTTAAACTCAGTTTACATAATCTAAGATAAAATGGAGGTTTTTTAAATAAAAAAAAGTTTCTTAAAGAATTACAAAAAAAAATCCTCTCCGATAACAAAATAGTCCGAGCATAGAAAATTTGCACACAAAAAAAATCAACGGAATCGTAAGAATGAGATTTTTGATGCTATATTTTCAATTTTTTCAAAGTTTGGTATAAGAAAAACTTGAATAACTGGAACAGAACTATTTCGATTTAGACTTGGTGAGGTATCATTGGAAAGGTATTTTCTCACCCTTCTTATTTCTTCGCAAATAAACTCATTCGAAGTATGAAAGAGAATGGTTGGATGAACGAGTTTCATTCAAACCAAGTAGAATTAAAAAGTGTTGGTATTTTAAAAAAAATTGGGACGGGAATGATCACACTGAAATAAAGAGTGGGAAAATACCTTTCCACTGATACCTCATAAGTCTAAATCGGAATAGTTGTGTCCCAGTTATTCAAGGTTTTCTTAAACCAATATTTGAAAAATGTTAAAAAACGGCATCAAAAATTTCATTATTACGATTCCGTTGCAAAGATTTTTAAATACTTGTATGCAGATTTTTTTAAGCTTAAACTGTTTTGTAACCTGAGGGGTTCTTTTTCAAAAAATTCTTTAGGAAATTATTTTTATTCATAAAAAAAAACATTTTTGAAGGAATTTTCAAATCAGTCCAGTTCACGTACATCTTCATATTTTTCCGTAATATTTTGGTGGACGTCTTCAAATATTATAGATTTTGCATTCCTGGCGGAAAACCGCAACTTTTTTGGTGATGCAGTCTAATGTACATAGTATTTCTTTTCAGAAACCGACATCAGAGATATTTTATAATACAATCAAGAGCAAAGCGCCCATTCTAAAAAATTTTGCCTGGACATCATTGCGAAACAAGATGCAAGCCATACGGGCATGGTACTTGGAGACTTTACAGTGGAAAGAGAAAGGCATCGACCCTACATTGGTGGTCAACTCCAAAAGATTGCGTAATATCGTGAAGTATGTTGAAAAGTTATCGCCCTTTTGGGATACGCTCGGTGTTCTTTTTAACCACAACAAAATTGGTAGACCAAGTGTGGTGTATGATACCGCTCAAGACGTTGAGCTGAAAACAAGTACTTTCGATAGTAGTTCCAACGATTCAAATGACGTTCAATTAGTACTGAAGTATGAGGCTACTGATCCACAGTATTCAACATCGCAGAGCTCATCCGATTTTACAACAACGATTGTCAACAGGAGCACCCTGGAGACTCAAACAATGCCACAGAGCATTATGGAAGCTACACAAACCATCGCTGATAATAGTGCAGCTACAACAACAACAACTCCGCACAATACAGACGCTAGCAATCGCAACGGTTTAATTGACGACAATTTAGAATTTATCAAGCTTGAGCCTGACAGTCCACAACCTTCAATGTCACAGCGCTCAATAAATTTTAAATTGAGTCCACGTGAGACTGCGCAACCATTGCAAAATTCGCAGTTGATTAAAGAACAGAACTCAACATTGGAAAAAGAAAAAATAGAATTGGAAAGTGAAAAGCTTAAAATAGAAAGAGAAAAATTAGAACTAGAAAAAGAAAAAGTGCGAAATGATTTTGAGCTGAAAAAATTAGCATTACAAAACGAATTTGAGTTAAAAAAAGTCGAAATTGCATTACGCGTGGAAGCCGATGAGAGATTAAAAAGATATGAAATTGACTTAAAATCTTGTTAATTAATAATCAGCCCTATCGGCAATTCCATGTGAATAACTCGTTTCCATAATTTAAGATGCAAAACGAAAAATAAAAATTGAAACATTTGAAAAAAAATTTAAAAATTTGATTTTTTTTTTTTTGTTTTGCTTTATAATTTGTGGCAATATTTGTTCATGTGAAAGTCGCGATAGGGCCGATTTTTAAAAAGGTATTTAGAAATACATATGTAGTATGTAAGCACATGTAAATCCAAAAACACATATCGCTAGCTTATTCTGGATTTCCACTAGACATTAAATGGCAAAAATGACAAATGAAAAAGTCGGGCATTAAAAAAAAATCGTGTCATTACATTAAAAAAATAGTCATTAAGTTCATTTCCACATAGCATTTTTTTAAATGGCATACATTTTTTGTCATTTCAATTCCTAGTGCGAATTCGGCATTAGAGTCACAAGCTTCTAAGTCCCATATTAATAGTTTTGCAGGAGACAACTTTTTTTCGAAACAATGCATTTTTAATTTCTCTGCCCTCCTGTATCAAAATAGGAGTTTTCATAATAAGTTAACTCCAGAAAATCTTCACTCTAAACTAGCGATATTTTGAATATTATGAAAATATCGTAAGTTTATAATCTTTGCCAAAATTCAATACGTAGAAGTTGTACAATTTGCAAGCCCTTTAATTTTCACTTTTAAGTTCTGATATTAATTAAGGAGTATATGTGCATAAGTTAGTTAATAAAACTAAAACTTTTTCTTTATTAGTTTTCTAATTTCATTCATAAGTATAAAAATTTATATTTTGCAGTAGCAGGACAAGTCAGCTTTATTTTTTTACGTGCCGTTGAAGAACAAATCAGTACTCGGAATACACACAAATCCGAGAAATATTCAACCAAACACGGAAAAAATCCATTTAATACAAATTCTCAACAATCAAATTTGCTCTCAAAAATAAATTGAATTTTGATTTCACAAATTTTATTTTAAGTATATAAAGGTTGAAAATACATCAACAGGCCATTCACCACTATTCCTTAAAAGCTCCAAGTAAATGCAGGCACGACGTAAACACAAACCAGCTGATATGGACTTTGACACTATCCATTTTTACCCGGAGAAAAAGTCCGTCTGTCCGTCCGTACGTCTGTGCATACGATAATTATAAAAGGGGTGTTCATCTAAAGTGATAAAGGGATACATTTCTTAAATTGAACGCACCTTGGTAAATAATTGCATAAAACTGTGTATTATTTAACTTATATGGCTAGATACGTTCCATTCTTACCTCGTCCATTGTGCTCATTTGCTTTTATGTGTTCGTAGCAAAAGCGACTACCTGGCAACCTGTAAAGATTGAGATTTGCTTAAATTTATACTTTTATCCACCAAAGTAATTTGATAAAGTGATAAACTTTGGTTAAATGTGTTTGTTATTTTTATGGCCTTATAACAATTATATTCAACAATTTTTATGAGCTTGAGGCCGTTTTTAGTGGTTAAATAGATTTCCATACAGAGTTTGACAGTTCATTTATCAAATTGATAAATTTATCACTTTATCAAGTTTATCAAGGGCTTATCACTTTTGATGAAGACCCCTAATAATATAATAATAGCAAAGAACGTCGATAACAAGAAAGAACAACTCCGATTTGTGACGTGCCGCTGTTAAGAGAAACCTTTTTTCTATGTTTTTTTGCGATGTTGCTTTGATCAGGAATTGAATCTAGGCCGTGCGGAGTGGAAGCGCGCAATGCTTACCACTACACCACAGCGGCCACCGATAACTCGAGTAAAAATTTAAATATCTGAACGAAACTTGGTATGTGTGCTTCTTTTCAGCGCAGGACGGATGGTACTGAAAATGGAAGAAATCGGACAATAACCACGTCTACCTCCCATAAAACTAGTTTTCAGAGATAGTAACTACTGAAGCTTATTCACTCAAAATTGATATTTAAAATGATTTTTGGACGAAAAATAAGATGATAATTTAAAAAAATATGGGCGTAGCCAGATCCAATTATGTTATTCACTCCCCCGACCGTTTAGGTCGGCGACGTCCATTTTCGAGCACGTGAAGACGGCCGGTAAAACCCATTTTAAAAACATTGTATCGCTTTTTCACTTTAAGTAGTGAGGCAACTTGATAATCAAGTCAAACAGCTGCTTACAGTCTGTCATTGTGCTACAGTATTTTGTCAGAAATAGTCTGGATTACTGAAGGCAGTATAAATTAAGTACGGAAACGAGGCGAGAATTTTAAGTTGGTTCCCTGGCGGCAATATCTTGAAACTGAAACGGACTATCAAGTTGCGTGCAACCAACGTCACAGCTGTCAATTCAAATGAATTTTGACAAGGAATATGTGTGAAAGCAAGTTCTTGACCGTGTAACTGCAGAGTAATACAGTGTTTACAATAGGCGATTTAATACCATGTTCGTACCGACAACGAAAACGAGTTTGGGATTGTGGGCTCAAAACGGTTCTCCCCGGCTGTTAGTGTTTTCGTTGACTTTTCTTTCGTCCTTTGTTTACAGTTTTGCTACGAAAAAAAATCAAAATCTTTGTCCCTCATTTTCTTATCATAAGCAACCTTTTTCTTTTGTTCGTATTTTAATATGGCCAGCCAATAAACAATAAAACCGAATTGGTATATTAAAGAAGAGAAAATATGATAAATAATCAAAAAAACTAGAGCAGACACCGGTTGGAATGAGTGGAACGTGAGTTTTCAACTAGTTTTCAGCGAAAACTGGTTTTCGTATGACAGATTTTACATGGACGAAAACACAAGTTTTAGGTCGAAAACCAGTTATAGCAACCAAAATATATTTTCGATGTCGGTCCGAACATGGTATTATAGGCTACTTCTTGTTAAAGGTCACAATCGCCTTGATGTGATCTGATCAGCCAATCAACTAACCGCAGCCAGGTTTTTATTCAACTTATCGTCTCTAATAGTTCATTTCCACCATGCTTATGTACAGTTTATGGCTATTGGAAAAAGTAGATTACAACTCGAAGGGAGTCTGAACTCTTAAACGATGTTTCCACGCCAAGTGGTTCGCTCTCCCATTCGTAATTCGCTCTCTCATTCGTGATTGGCGCCCCAATTACGAACCGAATCACGTAATTCGCCATACAAAATTTTGAGAGTGAATCACTTCATTCGTAGCTGATTCAGATCCAATCAACAAGCGAATCAAGAACAAATCGTTGTCTTCTCTAATTTTTATCGATAACGGCTGTCAAAACTCATAGACCACACACATTCCCACCAGCACTAACATTGAAAAAATAGCTAGATTCATTAAAATTATTGATTTAGCTAATTAACCACTGCAAATTTTTTGAAATGCTCATTAAACATTAAGCAAAAGCAAAGAACAAGAAGCAGAGTGGCAAAGTGAATCACGAATGTGGCGTGTAAACAGGTTGAGAGAGCGAACCACGTGATTCGGTTGGCGTGGTCGCCGTTTTAACTGCAGTTAAGCCCTTGGTGGAAAAGGGCTCTAAAATTGCCTGTAACATCGGCTCATATAAACGCCGTATAATTGAGAATTTCAAGCAGGTGAAGGCGACCAGTTAAGAAAAAAAAAATCGATGTTTATGAATTAACGTCGATGTATAGTTTCCATCTCTACAAACATTTTGCCAGGATATTTTTCGAGACGGAAAATTTTTCGTTTATTTGTATACCGTGATGGTTATTTCCTGCAACTTCTGCAAGCTACATTACGACTCAACTTTACATTGCATCTGTGATTCCAACTCGCCGATTAATTGCACAAATACAGGTTAGAACTAAATTTTTAATTTTTTTCTGAAATGCCGGTGCTTAATTATCAAGCTGCTTGGTAATATTTACATATTTTATTTCAACACCCCTAGCTCCGAACATGCCCTAAATGTACCTAAAAATGGCAAGAGGGGTATCAATGGACGCGCATTTACGCCAGTAATATCTGTTCCAGGTACTTAACGTTTTGCAGAAATTTTACTGAATTTTACAGGAGGCTGTTCCCGTACGAACAACTCCTTTCTCCGTTTACGGCCTTCAGCCACGCTTAGTAATTATAACCCTTACTATGTAGAGTTCTGCCTTCTGTGTTGCCGGTGAAGTGGGGCGGAAGTATATTTGCGCACAGCTTTCTGGGTAGGCGGTCTGCGTGAAATTCATTAAAAGGGGTTTTTGCAAAGAACTTTCGAATGGATTAAAAAGGTTTACTTCCGCTTTCGGATTACTGTTATTAGCCTAAAACGCGTCGATTGATTTAAGTCCGCGTACTCGAAATTGGAAAAAGTTTCGAAAGTTAAGTTCAAAATTGTTTAAACACGAAAGCCAAGTTCGACAAATACGAAATGATGGTAAAACAATTGGGTACTGTTTATGAATTTGTACAACGATTTTGGATTGCTGTGCCCAAACGCGTGAATCGAATCGAAAACCTTTTATACACACTTGTAGACAACAGTTCACGCTTTATTAAAAAAAATTAGTTTACTAAATCTGTGCACATAAAAAAGAAGATATTAAGTGGCTGCTTTAAGATAATAATGTCGGTTGAAAATATGGTATTTGTTGCAAATTTCCGAAATATACGTACAGTGATTACTCTTATTCTGTCTTAAAGCAGCCACTTAATATCTTCTTTTTAACCGACTTCCAAAAAAGGAGGAGGTTTTCAGTTCGTCGGAATTTTTTTTATTTTTTTATTTTTTATTTTTATGTATGTTACCGCATAACTTTGGACCACGTCAACCGGTTTCGATAATTCTTTTTGCATCGGAAAGGTAGTGTCTCAGAGGTGGTCCCATACTAATCTGGTTGAGATCCGATCAGTGGATCATGAAAAATATATATATATATATTTTTTTTTATATGGGAGTTGAAGTCGGTTTTTTTTTGCTAAAAATTACTTGTTTATGTCTATATTTACTCTACACATTACACTATTAGTTGTTAGTTTGTTTTATTCCTTTAGTTGAAACTTATTCGTCGCATTTTAACGAAGAGATGCTATGAGTCATGGGGCGACTCTCAGCAAGCCGGGCATTCGTTAAGAACATCCTCGTTTAATCTGCTCAGGTATTAGTTCAACCTGCTGCAGTAACCAGAGCGCAGTTGGGCTATTGTAGTCCGAGTCTCCCGAGGCAGACGAAGTTCTATCTTGTCCACGTCTGGTGGTTGTGTGCCCAGAACGGCATTCACAGGTCGGACGTCTACATAACTCGAGACTGCCTCTCTGTGAATGCGGTTCAAGGCCTGTCGATAAGCTCTCGGCTCCAGAGGTTGTTTGATGAATTCGCCGGTAACACCACCTGGTATAGATTCGCCTAGGTACAACCGCAGCGAAAATCTACTTCGCCGGTAACACCACCTTGTATAGATTCGCCTTGTTGATATTCTTAGACCAGTTGATTTCTTCGCCTTACATGTGTTGTTTTTGCTTTTACTGATTGCTACCACCTTGTATAAATTCGCCTTAGATATGTTGATTTTCTACGCGAATTCATATACGGTGGTAGATTCTTCCGTTTGTTACCTTTTGTCCCGTGCATTATAGCCATTCATATTCATTTCCATACAACAGATAACAAGTGACAGTTCACTCCGTTACGTTACTTCCATTATAGCCAGAGAGGTAAGCTTTTATTCTGCGTCTTGGGGATGAATTTCCAAAATAATTTCAATGCGGTAGCAAATACATCAAAAACAAATTCTAATAACAAACGTGGTAACATCGAAGCTAGAATTGAAGCGCGACGAGCATGGAGAAAGGCGTACATGAAGAAATATCGGGCTCGAAAAAAACGTCAGACCGATATTGTACTCGATCAAGTTAGTGCTAAATTTTCGAGAGATACAAGTGAAGATTCAACGCCTAATGAATATCTCGGTATACTGCAGCAAAGAAAGATGAAAGCACCTGCCCGCTCACGAGACTACCAAGATCGGCAAAGAAATAGGAACAGTGCTAAAGTACCCGCCTCCTTCCAATCAATAGAAACAGACACAATATCTGAGCCTGATTCCTACCATTCAAATGACGGTAAATTAGTGCTGAAGTTTGAGGCTGCGGTTCCGCAGTCTTCAACGTTGCAGGCCTCATCCGATTTTAATACAACGATTGCCAATAGGAGCACCTTGGAGAGTCATACAATGCGACAGAGCATTATGGAAGTTACACAAACTCCCACTTACAATAGTGTAGCTACAACAACAACCACTCATAATGCGCATGCTAGTGATCGCAACGATTTAATTGATAATAATTTGGAATTTATCAAGCTTTGGCTTGGAAGTCCCCAACCTTCAACCTCGCAGAGTCCGTTTGACAGCGTGCAACAATTGCAAAATATGGTTTTGAATAAAGTACAGAATTTAGCATTAGAAAAAGAACAAGTACAATTGGAAAGGGAAAAACTTAAAATGGAAAGAGAAAAATTTAAATTAGAAAAAGACAAAGTGCGTAATGATTTTAAGTTGAAAAAATTTGCATTAAAAAACGAACTTGAATTAAAAACAGCCGAAATCGCATTACGCGCAGAAGCCGATGAGAGATTAAAAAAATATGAAATTTACTTAAAATCTGGTTAAATGAAATCTAATGTTAAATAGTATTTAGAAATACATACATATATATATATATATATATGTAAATACATACATAAAAACTAATACATATGTTTTGAATAATATTAAAATAACGCAAATTTATAATGTTTTTTCGAAATTCAATTCTTGGAAGTTTGACAATTTGAAATACCGTTAATTTTACATTTAAATATGTGTTAATATTAATTTACAAGCCTACTATGTACATACATACATACATAAGTTATCTAATAAAACTGAATATTTTCTACTTACTAGTTCAGTAAAAGAACAAAGTTGTTTCATTGCATTTTATATATACAAATTTTCATTTAGACTTTGCTGAATTTCTGGAACTTTGCTGAGTACGATCGGAATGAACCAAACATCGTGTGCACCGCTACAAACATTTCACCAGGATATTTTTCGAGCCAATTATAGACTGTGATTTTTCTGCTTGTTGTACTCACACCAAAGAATAATGCGCAAGTGTAAAAGTAATTTAAGTCCGCGTGTTCACTCCGTTACGTTACTTCCAATATAGCCAGAGGGGTAAGCTTTTATTCGGCGTGTTGAGGATGAATTTCCAAAATAATTTCAATGCGGTATCAAATACACCAAAATCAAATTCTGATAGCAAACGTGGTATCATCGAGGCTAGAATTGAAGCGAGACGAGCATGGAGAGCAGCGTACATGAAAGAATATCGGGCTCGAAAAAAACGCCAGACAGATGTTGTACACGATCGAGTTAGCGCTAAAATATCGAGAGAGAGAATTGAAGATTCAACGCCTGATAAACCTCTTAATAAATTGCAGCAAAAAAGGATGCAATTAACCGCGAATTCACAAAACTACCGAACCCGGAAAAGAAATGGAAATAATGCAGCTGCATTTGCCTCAATCCAATCAATTGAAACAGACAGAATATCTGAACCTGATTCCTACGATTCAAATGACGGTGAATTAGTACTGAAGTTTGAGACCTCTGATCCACAGTTGTCAACCTCTCAGAGCTCATCCGATTTTACAACAACAATTGTCAATAGGAGCACCATGGAGAGTCCAACAATGCGACAGAGCATTATGGAAGCTTCGCAAACCACCGCTCACAATACACACACTAGTAATCGCAACGATTTAATTAATTGGAATTTACAATTTATGAAGCTTGAGCCGGGCCGTCCACAACCTTCAACGTCGCTGAGCGCATTCGATTTGTATAAAGAACAAATTTTAGCGATTGAAAAAGAAAAAGTAGAATTAGAAAGGGAAAAATTTAAAATGGAAAGAGAAAAATTTGAATTAGAAAAAGAAAAAGTGCGAAA